GTAGGGTGGATTAACCCCTTAAACTCTAAATATTTGCAAAGCTATACGTTCATAGCACTTCTTATATTAGTATCTAATATTAATTTAAGTATGAACTTGTTACAAATTTTTTTCCACCCTCTACGAATTTTTTTATGTTTTTACTAGTGTAGGGTAGATTAACCCCTTAAACTCTAAATATTTGCAAAGCTATACGTTCATAGCACTTCTTATATTAGTATCTAATGTTAATTTAAGTATAAACTTGTTACAAATTTTTTTCTACCCTCTAAGAATTTTTTAATGTTTTGTTTTTAGTGTAGGGTAGATTATACCCTTATATTTTAAATATTTGCAAAGTTATATCTTTGACAATTGGGTACTAACCCTTTAACCCTATTTTTTTAGTAATAAATTATAATTTCGAAGTATTTATATGGTCCACTGTAAAAATTCGTTTCTCATTTCTGAAGCTGATGCTAACTTCAACGACGTCACTTTTCGTATTACCGGGAAAAATAAAATTGTCAGTGTCGTCCATTAGTTATCGCATCCCTGTTAGGAATGTAGCTAAAAAGAGGAATTGAAACATTTTTTGTGATAGTTAAATTTCTTGAATTTCTTTAAAAAGGTAGGCTGAGAATGTGAAAACCGTTTTCTAATATTCTCAAGGATAAAAAAGGACATCAAATTTAGAAAACTACACAGACTGTATTTATATCGGTAGCGTTTTTGTTATATAATATACCACGACGTTTCCTATCTGTATGTTCCACTAATAAGTGACAAAATCCCTGTGTGTCATCATTTGTTATCTATTAGGCGCAACTTTATGGAAAGCAAAAGGCATGTGTATCTTTTGCTTTCGGTTGCATTTCTCGAAATAGATAATTTTCATGCAGACTTACTCTGAGGAAACTGATAATTTTAGATGGGAAATGTACAGATACACAAACGTGTAGTTTAGTCACATTTGATTTGAACTAACTAATATCACAGATTTAAATATATTTAAATCTGTGCTAATATAAACAAAGTTGTACGTTTCAGGTGGTTTGAAGGCATTGTTATAAAACAGAGTTCATATGCAGCACTACTTGTGATATAATATGTGAAGTACCTAGTATTATACCTACCCCCCGTCAAAGGGAAGTATTATTACAGTCTCATTAGGGTTAAACAGAAATAATCAAATTGCTTTTGTTTCGGTATTGATATCTTTTATGTGGCATCGTTATGCAACGTCCATCACTTTAACGAGGTGGCTGTATTCGTGTAATAGCACTTAGCAGTTTTTCGATTTTCTCCTCAATTTCTTTTTGAAAATCGGAATTTGTTTTGCTTTATTTTACTGATAAGCGGATATTCCTGATATCTGGTGATATTGAAAAAATAAGTAGCACAAACTTGCCTCTCTAAGTCTCTACTCAGTAGGACTGTTTACGAATTGCGATATTTTGTTTTCCGCTTGTGTGGTGGTCATGCGTTCGTCCAAAAAATCAAAACGATGCCACATTTTTACACAAGAACAAATTTGCGGCCAAAATCCTTCCAATTACTGATATAGTCGTATTCCACCTAGGGGTTTAGCTAAAAATTGGACTACTATTTGATACCTTCCTAAACAAATTTCTTGAAGCATCCTGATAGAAAGAAACAGGTTTTATAAATAAAAATTATTTCCAATGTAGGTATATAGGTAATAGATATCCATTTAGTGTATTTTTCGTCTTGGGAATATGTGACATTATGATTTACAAATCAACAGCATTCAGGAACATTGGCTAATTATATAGTAATTTAACTAATCCATACCATTAGGAACGGCGTAACAATGTGCAGGGTAATGCCAGAATTTCTTTTGTTTTCACTTTCAAGTAATGAGTTATAAGTGCAATTTGAGTTGCCTGTCCTTAGCGTTTTGATCTTTTTCTGAAGATCGCAAACATATGTTTTCAAATATATGCATTATTATAATAGATGGAAATAATATCTTTAAGTATCGACGTAAGAAATACTGTCGCATTTCCAAATTGGTGCTGTACGTTTTTCTACTCTCATTACAACGGCTGTATTACGAAAAACGATTTTTCAATTCATCGATCTTTCTAAAAAACTAAGACCGATATTTCAACTTTTTTTAAGTACCGACGTTCTTTTCATTATTGCATTATTGCATTCCACTATCAAGAATTTGTTTCTTCACTTCAGCTACAAAAGCAGCATTTCATAAGAAAGTTTAGCTATTTTTTCCAATATGGTGGATTGACTACAGAGGAGCCTTAAAGGGATTACTTCCGGTAATACCGAAATTTTAAACCACAAAAATTAAAGTTGTGTACTTAATCTTGAGAAAAGTGGGATTGCGAGACTTGAGCATGGTCTACCTATTATTGAAAACAGAATTGGAAACCAATCATGAAAGTGAAACATTGGGCATTTTAAATCAAATTGTACATCTTCAAACTGTAATGCCATAGCTGCTTGAATTTGGCATCATGAAGGTGAATCTTGTGGCTTTTAAGTTGAATTCTGATGCTTAAAATATAATTTAAAGCTGCCATATGAATCTGAAATGTTAAAACTACCTATATCTGACCACCATTTTGGTGCTGGAGTTTCTGAAAGAATGGTTTTTATCCTTGAGCGATTCACGTATATTGGTAACACGAAAGCACAATAGTGATTAGTGACAAGACACCGTACTGAGTTGGTATATCAATAAAGTACTGACGCAATTTGTTTGTGGAATTCTATAAGGAAAATGAATTTATTTAAAAGACAATGATGTTCAATACACCAAATTGTGTAAATAAAGATACAAATCAATTTCAAAGCACTTGTTCATAAAAGATCCGTAATTTAAATGGCAAGACCAAATACGGAGACAATACAATACATGCTTTTATTCTCCCACCTCACAGTGCAAGTGCCATCCGTCGAACTATCCCAGTAGCACGAACTGGCAGTATGAAGTCCGGCACCGGTCTTCTGCATTATCGAGCACGTAACGACATACTTGAAGGATTTCTTGAGCTTACTCAGGGCGCTGAGGCACTGCTCGGAAACGGCCGCACTCCACTGATTCACCTTGTCTTGCTGATACACGTTGCCGCTGATCGTCGACTCGATGGTCTCTTTGATAATTTTACTAACATCATCGACCACGAACTGATTATCCTCCTCTTCCATTTTGAACAAATTTTGACATACATCCAAAATATTTTTTGACACAATATTTTGTTTCCCAAACATACTCGCTCGCGATTTTTACGTTTTGGTGTTGCCGCGAGTTTGCTTTAACTTTTTACACTGAAGTTGCAATAAGAAATGCGAGCAAATAATTCTTAATAAATTGTCGTAAAGCGTGCTTAAAAGGTAGGGATGTCACGCGATAGGTCCCTTACGACTCCGAGAATTGCGTCCATAAACTTGAGCTTTGAAACTGTCATGCGATCAAACTTTGCCGAAAGTCTATTCAGTTTTATGCCGTAATTTAGATTATTATAAAAGCTCGTGTGAAACTTATCAAAGACGCCAATCACAAATGGATTACATTAGAAAAGCGTTTACACGAAACTAACACGAGAGCTTATGGGAGAACTGACCCATTTCTAAATTTGTACAACCTTTTAAGAGCATACCTACCTACCTACGAGTTACCATTGATTTTCTTTCATGTAAACCGATATGCACGTGTTCCGCCGAGGAGATTTTTTATGAAACACGTTGATTATGTGTATCCACGATATCTCATAAGTCATAAATAAGAACGGAAAGTTCGGTATTTCAAATGTTGAACGCTCGCATGATATTTTCAACTGAAAAAATCTGCCATTATTGACGACAAGTAAAGCTCGAAAAGTTTCCGAAATGTTCCTGCACAAAAAGAAGGCCGTTTTTTTGCTCCAGCCCCTACATGTCCTTCCATTCTATAATTGCTAATTGGTGTAAATTAATAATAAACCATAAAGTCCGTCGTGTGGCTAACTTCGTATGAAAGAGCTTGTGTAAGTGAGTGCTCGCGTGAAGCGTCTTCCTTACGGCGGAAATAGGTTGGCAAATAAAATTCAAGAACAGGATAAATAGGAGCCGCAAAAAATAACGAAGCAGAGCAGATAATACGAGGGCCATTTTTTTTCGACCTCCATTGGATCATTGGGTCTTATTCAAGGAGCTGGTGGGCAGTACCTATTCGCAAGAAGAATACGACTGGCGCACAGAGGGCGACGTCCAGGAAGCGACGGTGCGAGAGTAACACCTCGGGTCCTGCGCCAAAGTCTAAGGCTGTGTCTGGGTCGTTGACTCAGGGGTCAACCCGACCTCTCAGATCGGAGAGAAGCACTCCATCAGGGTCTGGCTCAGGGCAGCCCGAGAAGAACGTAGAGTTTCTGGAGCACCAAAAGTTGGGTGCACCACGGTATGGCAAGTCGCTGCAGTGGGGCTCAGGGTCGCCATCGTTCCGGTATCGCACCCGGAGGTGGACGTCTCTGAGCCTGAGTCAAGGTGCATTAAGGCTGCATTGAATGCAGTTGTTGACGAGATGGGAGAGGGGGGGGGGTTCCTCAGCTGGCAGGGTTCCGCTAAAATCCGCAGGATGCCATTGTAAGAGAATATGCGCCTCTGAAAGTTCAGAAGCACGCCCAGGGTGATGACTGTGTTATACCATTGACATTGAGTAATTCACTCAACGGTTGAACTTAAATTGCGAAAGTACAAACACGCACGTAGAAATACTATTAAATCGCACTTTATTTGATACAAATCCCTTGGGTAGTTTTTTTTAATAAATTGCTAAAATCAGCGGACTAAACATTTTACTTCCATCGATCGTAGAGTTTGAAATCTCCAAGTTAATTTCCACGAGGCTCTGTCAGGCACAAGTATAACCCACTGGTATACCTTAAAATTTACTGCAAGCATAGACAACACACATTACACTTGAGCCTATTACGTACGCATTGTGTGTTGCATATGTACTAGCAGCATGCCAGCAATTTGAACATATTACACTTTTTCAGGAATGGGTTACGGCAACGGACATTAAAGTCATCCTGAACCGCCTCAACACCTTCGGCGACGAAGTTTTCGGAGATCCCCAAGTAATGCGCTCCTATTTCTACGCCGTCGCCGACATCGCCGTCGGCGCAAGATGCAAATGCAACGGTCACGCGTCCGACTGCATAACATCAACGGGCGTGGATGGTTCACGACGGCGTGTCTGCAAATGCGAGCACAATACCGCCGGACCAGACTGTAACGAGTGCCTCCCCTTCTATAACGACGCGCCTTGGGGAAGAGGTTCCGACAGGAACGTTCACGAATGCAAACGTAAGTAATTTACAGGACGAGTCGGATTTAATGATGTTCGCCTTAACGTTTAATTAGAGATTTTATGACATAATGAGTGACCAATTATATCTGGTCGATGTAGGAAATATCGCGTTGACTTTTTTAACGTAGTAGGTACTGGTTGAGGCATAGATCGTTCACCTTTCTGTTTATGGCATAATGACCATTTTGCTATAATAAGTAAACAACTTCATATAAGTCTTCGGGTGGCTTTTCTTAAGAAACAGAAATACGAGACTGGATGTGCGATTAAAAGCAAGAGTGAAAATATTTTAACTAACTAACTTAAACAGCAATTTCCTAAGCTCAACGTTTGTAGAGGGTGCCAATTAATTAAAATTTAATTAATAACTAATGACCTAGACCTGTGAGAAAAGGAATTTGGGCTAAAATAAAATTTATTTTTCGACATATACAGGGTGGCCCAACGAAAACGAAACCGACTGAATAACTAGTAAGGACATAGTTTAAATCTTTTGTTTCGGTTTGATTCTTATCAACAAATACAATAGACAAATCTGTTTCATGCAAATAATCGTCACGGGTCGATTCCTTTAGGAATATTAAAATTACTTCGAACAAAATTACTTATGCGCATTCCTAAAAATTATCGACCCCTACTTTATACAGATCAAAAAATTTACTGTAACTTACAGTTATTGACGTGGGTAATATTTTCTTCTGGTAACAAATCTTTCCTTGGAAATGCTGCTTTCTTTAGAAATATGGAAACAGATCGCTTCGATGAATACAAAATTTGGCGGAAGAAAAATTCGTATGAATTCCGAATCCAAGCAAATCGGTTACAAATTCTCGAAACTAATACTCGTGATCATGCACAGGAATAAAATGCCAATGTTCCGCTGTGTTGATATTAATTTTGCCCAATTTATTAATTAGGGCAAATGCATCCTTTAAGTGTCGCTGACGTACGCCGTTACATTACAAAATTTTATTTATCGCACAAGGCGTTGTCCAATGACGTCACTCAACTTTGAGGAACTGCCTTTTAACTAGCCGTTACCCTTACCGATCCAAAAAACTGCTTTGTTTATCACAATGAATTACAGTTATTGTCAGTTTATTTCATCGAGTTTTTTTATTCGAAAAGCGGTTCTCCGACTTGAAAATGTTCCTTCGCGTGTATTTTACCACTCGTAAATAAACAGCCTTGTTACGAATCAGGCTGCGAAAAAGTTTTTCTTCGTCCCGTAGTTGATTGTAATTTTTCTATTCATTCGCTTATAAAATTGCAGGAATTTCCACGGAATATCTTTACACATACGTGAGGATATTTCTCGCGACATAGCTAAAAATGTCGACCGCGAATCAATTTTTTCACATAAGTACTGATATTTATACGTAATGGCCCTTAAAGTTAAACAAAAGCCTTTCGTTTGTACGTGAAATAAACCAAGATAGTAATAATTATGGTACCCAAATTGGTACTCGCTCGCGAAAATGGGCTTAGAATGCTCGCTATTTGAATCTTGCCCGTTAGAACAACGACCTCGACTGGCGGTCCCTAACAACCAATAGGAAACCCGCATTTGGCTTTTTTCAGCCCGCTTAACATGGAATAAACGCAACTTTTAGTGATCGTGGCAACCATGCTCGTTTACCTCTATTTTCTATTAATTTTAGGTAATAGGTAGTTCTTAATAATACCCTTCTATTTTCATATTATCTCTTGACATCGCCAGACTTACTTTAGTTCAAGTTAACTATGAAGCGGTACAATTTCCCTATGTTTAACAGAATTCAAATTCAAAACCGCATTTTTGAAGCGGCAACGCGGCCACCTGTCACACTCCAAATCTAATATTTTCTCCAAATTCCCTCTAATTTCCTTAAAGCTTCTTGCAATTGCAAATTTATTTTCCAAATTTTCTTTCATGTTTCCCAAAATTCGTTCGTATTTCCCCAGAAGCTTCTCTAATGTGTTCAAAATTTCCGCTTTTTCTGGCAAAGTACTGATAAATTTCCTCTATTTTTCCCAAAATTTTTTTCATCGGCTTAGGTGTCTCCAGTTTTTACATTTCATAAAAATTTGCATTTTACTTAGCTTATAATTTCTTAGAATCTTCTTCTTTTTCGTTAACATTTCCTCGTAATCCTCTAGAATCCAAAACTTACCCTTATTCCTCCGCGAATGCTTTCATTCCACTTTACCTTTTATTCCCCCTTTCCCTTGTATTGAATTAAATGTCCCCAATTTAAATATAAAATACATAATTGTATTTCATTAGAACTTGCGTTTTACTCCTCCAAAATAACTTTTTTCCAGAATTTCCCCGTATTCCTTAGAATTTTTTTATTACTTCCTCCAAACTTCCCTAGTATTTGTCCGTCCCCCAAAATATTATTATAGTTCTCCCATACCTCCCTTTAGTTCGTGTACGAAATAACTGTACTTTTCGTCTAATTTCACCAAAACTTCTTATGTTGCCTTGCTTCTTTAATTTCCACGCGGTATATGTTACAGCATTTTCTTAAACATTGACTTATTATTTTTCAGAATTGTGTCCATATTTCCCTAGAATATCTTCGTATTTCCCTAAAATTTGCACTGAAGCTTCCTGGATTCTTATAATCTTTTTTGCATTAACTTGAATAACTCTGGGAAGTGAATACCATAATTTTCTTAAAATTTTCCGTTTACTTTCCAAAAGTTTCCTTCTTTTTTTCACTTTCATCATCAATCAAAAAATAGTTACATATTGTACCGAGTGTTGGGCATTGGGGCGCCATCTAGTCGATAAAAGGTTAGTCACCGGAGATAAACTGACTCATCTTTTATCGACTTGATGGCGCCCCGATGGCAGCGGATGCGACGCATTCTTCTCTCGAAATATGGTACGCCTACTAGACTCTTCGAGAACGTACCGTGATTGTTTCTAGAGACTTTCCGTTTGCTATATAAGCAACTTTCAGCGTATTTAAGTCAGTTCCATTATTGACACCGAAGTGATTATTAGTAAAGTTCGCACTCGTAGGTGATAAATTGGCTTCATTAATAATTAATTGTAAATCAATAAATCACGTAATTCAATTTACGTTACGGTATATAATATGAAATAAAATTAATTATCGAAACTCCACCTGCGTTTAATTTGTTTTAACTCAAAATCTCATACTTGAAATCGTACATATCCTACCTAATTGACCACTCTTCTATAACTTGACTCTTTTTAAACAATATTGAGAATTGGTGCTCCAGTTTTACACACAATTCGTAATCTTAAAAAATAGAATATCCCGAACCCAGCTATAATGTGTTCGTTATTTAAATGTAACTGCAAAATTTTAGATGGGTTCGCCCGTGCAATTCGATATTAGTAAAGTATCGACACTTTAAAGGTTTTTTTATGACTATTCAACCAACAAACTCTCATTTTTTACGCTTTTAAAGGAAAAAAGATACTGGTTTGAATACAAAAATTTAAAAAAATGATTACCTTATTTACAGTAGCGAAATCCTCACAGCATGCAACTCCAGTACGGAAAGTTCTACTGTCCGATCTCCGAAAAGATCTCGTAAAGGAATGTGGCTTAACTTTTTTTAAATATTCAAGCGATTGCAAAATTACGTAATCCGTCGGAAAACGAAAATAAGTTAGCTGCGCACAGGAGGCCGACTGAATGACTTTATGCATTCTATTTTTAGTCCACTTTGCGAGTTTAGCGTCAAAGAGTTCCAACAAAATAAGTAAACAGTTTTTCGCCCTAAGGCGAATAACTTAGGCGCATTTTCAATGCATTTATCAGTACTTCCCTAGAGGCTATGGCTATATGTTTATTTATCTATGGTTAAAACCTCCCAATAAGTAAGAAAGTTGTCATTGTGCAATCGCGCATCTTATTTTTCCAATATGCGATATGCTTGCCTTTACTAGGAGGTGGTTAAAATTTCAAACTAGGAGCATCTATTCTTTTACAACTTAGTAATTATACGTATTTTTCCTCGCATGGAAATTACCCAACGAAACTGCGCGCGCTTCAACGCAAAAATCTCTGGCACTAAGTATTCACGAAGGTTCATTCATAATCCAAAAACTACGCCTGGTACTTTAGCGCAAACGCTTTAATGATTCATAATGGGAAATATCAACGCGACACTTTTTTTTCGGTTTCGACTTTAATTTTCCGGCTGCTTGAGCTTAATTTTCCACCAACTAATTAACAACTATGCGCCGATCTTTCGGGTTATTGACTTAGCTCTGCTGTCGCGGCCCTCAGCGTGTTCTCTCGTGACTTCGTGCGCAATATCTCCCGAGTGTCTTCGAACGACTCAACTTCATTTTTCGAAACTACGCCCACCGACCATTTTAATCTGTTCAACCAATAAAATTCATTTCTTTTAGCCAATAATATCTCCAGAAACGCAAAATGCCAGAAACCTCGACGTTGCATTAACGGAAAATTCCCACAAACTTGGCAGTTCACACGACCCATTTTAAAGAATCCTGTCCTATAGGTATAGTAAGCTTAAAATCTCCCCCACACTTATATGGCCTTTTATACAGTGTCCATTTTTCGAGTACCGCTATGGGGATCTCGCTTATCTTAAGAGAGAGAAAGTTGATTAAATGAGGAGAGTTGCGAAAAGAAAAGAAATTTTTGAAAATATCGTAAAAAACGAAAATTTCTTATTACGTACTTATAAATACGTGGCATTTTTATTTTTTCCTATGGACGCCATTTTGAATTTCGGCATGTTGAGAATACGTATTTGTTTTTTTATTTACAGATTATTACAGATGGTGTTCCGCATCACATTTTCCCTAAAAATACAAGAGAAGTTTCAGCCTAGCTGAATCGACCGACACATCAAGTGATTTGGAGACTTGAAAAACACAAATATGGGCCTATTTCTCAAACGCTAGATCCAGGAGATCATTTTTGGTTCTGTTACTAGAAACGTACGCACCGCTGAAAGAAATAGTGCAGGGTGGGTTTATGTATAATGTGCGTGGGTG